ACTGCACTTCGCTTTTTCTCTGAGCTTGCATATATACTGTATACGTAATACAGTGGTGCCTCGCTAGACAATGTTAATCCGTTCCATTGAAATCGCTGTCTTGTGAAAACTTCATCTAGCGAAAAGCATTTCCCCATTGGAATGCATTGAAACCCGTTTAATGCGTTCCAATGGGGAAAATAGTCGTCATCCAGTGAAAATCGCCATAGGGAAGCCATTTTGCGAAGTGCCGATCAGCTGTTAGAATCACTGTCTTGCGAAGCTTTGGTCTCGAAAACATCCATTTTGCAAAGATCGCCCATAGGGAAGCCATTTTGCGAAGTGCCGATCAGCTGTTAGAATCACTGTCTTGCGAAGCTTTGGTCTCGAAAACATCCATTTTGCAAAGATCGCCCATAGGGAAGCCATTTTGCGAAGTGCCGATCAGCTGTTAGAATCACTGTCTTGCGAAGCTTTGGTCTCGAAAACATCCATTTTGCAAAGATCGCCCATAGGGAAGCCATTTTGCGAAGTGCCGATCAGCTGTTAGAATCGCTGTCTTGCAAAGCTTCGGTCCCGAAAACATCCATTTTGCAAAGATCGCCGATAGGGAAGCCATTTTGCGGAGCCGCCAATCAGCTGTAAAAATCGTCTTGCGAAAAAACGGTCCGCGAAGCACAGACCAATTCATCATCCAGCGAAATACCCCATAGGAAACACTGCTTTGCAAATCGCTATAGTGATCACAAAAAGTCAACGTCTAGTGAAAAAAACGTTTTGCGGGGTAATCGTCTTGCCAGGAACCACTGTATGTATCTTGCACTTTTGAACCAGTAAACAATTTATGTGCCTGTATAATAGATATAACAATTGATCCAGTGTGGTATAGCAGTTGCAGTACTGAACGGGGACTTTGGAAATCTGAATTCTGGTTTCCGCATGATATTCACTGGATGACTTTTGTTCGATCAGTCACTCTGAGCCTAATCTACTTCAGAAGGTTGTTGTGTGATGAAGTGGGGCAAGATGATGGTGATGATGATGACTGAGAGCCACGGTGAATTCATTGGAGGAGAGGCAGAAGATATACAGTGGTGCCTTGCTTAACGATTACTTCGTTAAACGATGAATCTGCTTGACGATGAGGTTTTTGTGATTGCAAAATGATGTTTTAATGGGGGAAAATCGCTTTACGATGATCGGTCCCCTGCTTCGGGAACTGATTTTTCGCTTAACGATGGTTTTGAAACAGCTGTTCGGCGGCTCTCAAAATGGCTGCCCGCTGTGCAAAATGGCCCCCTGCTGTTTTTAGGACAATTTTTTTTGCAAGACAGGCACCAGAAAATGGCCGCCCTATGGAGGATCTTCGCTGGACGATTAGGTATTTAGCCCATTGGAATGCATTAAGCAGTTTTCAATGCGTTTTTCCCCCTGCTTGACAACAATTTCACTCTATGGCGATTTCGCTGGAACGGATTAACATCGTCAAGTGAGGCACCACTGTATGTGGAATACATATATTTATTAATTGAGTCTTGAAGATGGTGTGCCCTGGTGGATTAGGATTTCAGAGTGTAGCATCCTACCATAGTGGTTGTTATTGTGGCCCTTCCCTTCTTGAGAATTCCAGTAATTGATTTGTCTTCAGCCTAGAGACTAACTGCTGTGGTGGGTGGGGCTTTTCTCTCTGCTCTGTTCTTCTTGCTTGCATGCTTTTTAAAAAAATCAAATACTCGATAATTGTCATAGGCATTCCTTGTCCAAGATGAAGGAATGAATCTTTCCATCTGCTTTGGTCACCACGCCTGCCTGAAGGGGGCTTTGTGGAAATCTCCTTCTTGGAGAGCTGCAGGGCCCATTTCTGTGCTTTCTTGTGTATGTTTTTGGGCTTGGGTAATCCTGTCTTGTGAGAGGCTTTGAGTTAGATTTTCAAGTTGGTATGGTAGCTGGGTGTGCCGCAGTGATGATATTGCTAGAGGATTGCCAGAGAGGAATCATGGATAGCATGAGATGCAGCATATCAGGAAGGAAGGATCTTCCTGGGAGGTGGAGATGTTTATTCTCGGTTCCTCTCCCAGGATCCCTCAGGAGCCAGTCTGCTCTTTCACTGTGTACAGCTGTTGCTCAATGCCAGCTAACTTCATAAGAAGACCACGCACAATCATGATTTAAGTATGGAAAAGGGATCTGACATGCTTGCATTACAGAGATCTTGGTGGGCAAGAGTGGTAGAGTTGATCTCACCCACCTTTTTCTTCTTGGGTTCTCAGTGATGCTTTAGCGCAGACTGGAGAGTGGGGTGGTAGGGGAGTTGCAGTGGTGCATTGGAGCTCATTTTTATTTTGCTCACTGTGGAATTCTCCCCTTGGCCCTGCCTTTTAGGGCCTGTATGTGATTTGGGGCCAAAGAGAGAGATGGGGGTGCAGTTGGGGGTCACACCCAGCTGCACAGTAGCTTCCCTTGCAGAGCACACACGGGTAGTTTCTGTCGTGATATCAGAGGAAGCCAGAACAGAGATCTTGGGAGACTTCGACATTAGTACTGAGTCTGTTTCTGTTTGGGACTTCATGGACTCAGTGGCAGCTCTGTCACTAGCCCAATTAAAAGAGGAGGTCATCTTTTTAATTGAATTTATTATTTGTTCTGAGATAGATGGGCTGAAGACCGGATGGGAAGGGGTATTTCCAAACAGCCCTGCTAATAGTCATGGGCAGACTTTTTGCTGTTCAATTTTGGACTTCTAACACAGTTTTCTCCTGCAAGCATGAAAGGCCAGATTGGAATCTGCTGAGGCTGAAGACCGGATGGGAAGGGGTATTTTCAAACAGCCCTGTGAATAGTCATGGGCAGACTTTTTGCTGTTGAATTTGGACTTCTAACCCATTTTTTCCTGTAAGCATGAAAGGCCAGATTGGAATCTGCTGCATCATTAAGCGCCTTGGGAGAATTTTTCTGATTAAAAACAAAATAAAGCAGGCAATGCTGTCTAGGCCCTAGAACAGTAATGGACAAAGAGTTGTTGACATGGCAGATCCTGAGCCCCACTCCCTACCCCCACCCCCAGTGTTGGGGTGCTTGCTCAACTGCTTGGTATTCCAGGGAGTTGTGAGAGCACTGAAACAGGTTGGACCATGTCTAAGAGTGGAGATAGCTCCAGACTCACTGTGAAATTGTCTGGACATGTTGGGACACAGGATTTTGTGGCCATGAAAGCAGGAGAGAAGGGTTATTTTTGTGTGTGCTCAAGTCATTGTTAGCCAAGCTCTGAGGATCATTAATGCCTTTTTTTTTTATAGAACAGGAATATGGGTCATCTGAGAGGCCTGCTCTGACCTCTTAGCTAAGCACTTTGAGGTAGTCACTCGTCTCTGTGTGGTAGGTCCAACTGGGGTGTCTGGTGTCGTATCTAGCTTATTGTTTTTGGGTTGTTTTTGATCGATATGGCCTGAAGAGGTGGACAAAGTACTTGCACCACATGCTCCTCATGGCTGATTAAAATTAGCTGAATGGCCTTGGCTGAGTTAATCCAAGAAAGGGATGGGGATTCGAGTTGCGGGATTCGCTGTCACGTCAGTCTTAACTCGCACCAGTGACTCGACTTGACTCTGACTTGACTTGTCCTTTTTTCCCAATGACTTGAATTCCATTGGTGACCCAACCCACCTTCTCCCCTTTTTTCTGGGAGTGGGGGAAGCTTATTTTTAATAGGAACTCCGACTTGGGCCTTGAGACTCAGACTCAAAAGACTTGCCAGCATCTCTGGTCCAAGTCACCCTTAAAGAGGGAGAGGAGCTGTGTAACCACTCCTACCCGCCGTGGTTCTTGACGGCCATAGACCTTCCCCTTCAGAAAGTTGTGACAGTGTATTTGCAGGAATTCTTGGATAGCGCTCCTTAATTTAGACCAATCTGAGCTGAGACCTGGGTTCATTTTGTTTGCCTCTTGTGTTTGTTCTTGTTTTATATATCTCATACGATGTAAGAAGATCCTCACTGTGTGTTATGAGCGCCTAAAGAAGCACAACTCTGATTAAACCACTGGGGTCAAAATACAGTCATCCTTTAATGCTGTGGATTGTTTTGTTTCCCGTTTTTTTGGCCTACAATTTCTGTCGGCTCCATCCACTGTGGCTAGTACTTAATTTAGAATACCAGAAAGGCCAAACGTTCCTTTTCTGATACTCCAATTCCCACCCTCCATTTTCAAAGTATTTCACTTGGGAAGTATTTCACTCACTTCATTTGTGTGTATCTGCAGTCAGTTGAATCTTAGGAAGATTGTATCTTTCTTAAATTTTATGTGTTAGAAACAAGAAGCAGATTTGCTTCCCCGTGATTTTAATAGAAACTGACTGTATCTCTTTTTTCACTCTAGATTTTACAGGGGACCAGCGAACCTACCATGGGAAGGAGTTTGTGGATTCCAGGCACAGTCGTGGGAGGGGAGGAGACACGACCCGTTTTCACACGGTCAATGTAGCACAGCCTGTTCGGTTTAGCAGTAAGTTGCAGACTTGGAAGCATGATCAAAATCCCCTAATTTCTGTCTGACACATGCAAGACTAGGTCAAGTCTTCTCAAATTACAGTGGTGCCTCGCTAAGATGAATTTAATTCATTCCACGGTTAATGTTGTCTTGTGAAAAATTCGTCTTGCAAAATGCGTTTTCCCATAGGAATGCATTGAAATCTAATTAATGCGTTCCTATGCACAAAAGAAGTCAGAACAAAGTCAGATTTGGTTTACAAAGGGTTTATTAAGTGCTCTTTAAAGCCATCCATATTGTGCAGATGACTTCAGAAATTTCAATCAAAAACCGTTAACTTTTTAAACATCATAGAAAAATATTTAAAAATCAGCAAACATGAGGCGGGAACAAAAAAGAAAAGAAAAGGAAAACATTCATCTTGGGAAGCACGGCCAAATTCGTCTTGTGAAGCACGGTCATAGGAACATTTGTCTTGCGAGTCATCAACCCCATTGCCAAAACCATTTGTCTTGCGAGTTTTTTGTCCTGCGAGGCATTTGTCTTGCGAGGCACCACTGTACTTCACTATGTAAAGCATCTGCAATTAAATTAAATTTCAGAAAGTGCTTATGTTATAACATTAGCAATGTAGGCTATTGTTCAGCTGTTTTTATTGTCAGAATCTCCTAACCTTCACAGTCTCTTTATCAGAATAGGCTCATATTCTGATACCGTTACACCATGGCAGCTTAATTCAGTTTCCAGCAGAGAAGTTGTGTCTTCTGGTCCTTATGTTTTTATGATGATGTTCATTTATAGAACACTCCTCAGTATAGAAAAATTTTGCAAAGTTTATCTGTACCTGACTGATACAATACATACACAATAGAAAATGATGTCAAAAGACATTCTTCAACAGAATAATAATTATCATCATCTTTATTTGGGAAAGTCTGGATGAATAAGCTTGCTTCCAACAAGTGTTTGAAAAGTATTTATTTATTTATTTATTTATTCATTCATTCATTCATTCATTCATTTATATATATATATTTATATTTTTATATATATCCTGCCCATCTGGTCTGGTCGACCTCTCTGGGCGCAGTCTTTGCTTCTCCATCCACAGAGGGGCCTTCTGGGTGATTGCCACCATTGAGACGCCCCTCTTTAATGATATTACACAATGGCAGTTTACTAGCTTTTCAAAGAACCAATAAAGTCTCGGTCTCTGTAGAGCAGACAGAGAGCACCCATAATTAGTTAGATCAAGTGATTATCTCTGTCCAGTTCTAATGTGCACAGCAGCTGCTGTGTATAGCTGTGGATAATGCTAAGCCAAGCCAAAAGCCAAATGTGTCAGTTGTTGCAAGGGTGGACAATGGAAACAACCTCACTGCATTTGTCAGACCAAGGATGCAGCCTTAGACAAGGTTGGACCAATTGGTCCCTCTAGCTTGGTATCCTCTGCACTGATTGGCAGCATCTTTCCAGCCTTTCAGGCATATGATTGACTAAGACTGAAAGGTTGCTTCTGGCAAGTCAGGTATGGAAACAGGAGAAGGAAAACTAGATGTTCTCTTTACTTTAAAATCAATCTTCTGTTTATTCCCAGATCTAAAAGTTGAGTACCCATTTTACCTATTGTAAGGATGCATTGTTTTTGATTGCAACCCCCTTCCCCTTTTGACTAGGGCTAGTGAGAATTACAGGCCTGCAAAATTACTCACTGCTGATAATTGGAACTGATGCTATTTTAACTTCTAGCTTCCAATGAAGTTATAAACCTATCCTGCTTCAGACCTGCGTGCTCCTCTACCATAAACTCCATTTCCATGGGAAACCTAGCTTGGCGGGATATGCTGTAACCTTTCTCTTGGGACATACTTGTTTTGGAAAATGCTGGAAGTTATGATGGAGGAGGAGGATACCCAAGTGTATGAGTTTACAGATAATTTCACCCCCATTGTGGACTGGGAAAGAGGCCGATCTTTTCAGCAACTCCTAAAATTTGTGTGGTTGAGATCCTGACTTGGAGGGGAATTGTTTCCCTTCCCTCCTTTATGTTTCCTAGGGAAATGCCCGTCAGGATGGCATCACTACGAGGGCACGGCCAGTTGCTACAGGGTGTACTTAAGCGGTGAGAATTACTGGGATGCTGTGCAGACGTGTCAGAGGGTGAACGGATCTTTGGCCACCTTCACCACAGACCAGGAGCTCAAGTTCATCTTGCAGCAGGAGTGGGATTCGGAGGAGAAGGCTTTTGGGAGGAAGGACCAGCGGAGGTGAGTGTCCGCATAGAGGGACAGACTTCTACCATGGAACAAAAGTGCACTGCGTTCTTGGTGAACGGAGAGTGGACACAGCGTCTCAGTGAGACTTACTGTTATTTGATCACATCCCATTCATTCAGTGGCTCTGTGCTGGTTGGAATTGGGAATTAAATTTCGCCCAGTCTGATTTTTTGCAAGCTACAAACCGAGTAAAAATAAGTCTTCAGCTCTTGGTTTGATATCAGTTCCTCTGAGTCCATTAAGACTTTGTCCTTATCCTTGCGGACTCTTCTGCTCACACAGTGGCTGGTTGCATGATTGGTATGACTTTTAGAAAATTAGTGCAAGGAGACAATCACTACTTCCTTTTGCATCTGCGAAGCTCTGTTCTGTTTTAGGGGGTCATCTCCGCCCTGTGCTGGAGATCCCATGGAACATTACGCCCACGAGGTGTTTTAATACACAGTTCTAAAGAGGACACCGGCATGAATTCTTGCCTTGCACTTCAGCAGTACTTTATATTTTTTTTGTCCTGAGAATACAAGCTGCTTTGTGTCAGAGATCTTTGCCTTCTGTTGTCCCATAGACCTTTCTGGTTAGGCATGGTTTAGCATGGAATGCCATTTAGCTGTTGACAGCAGTGATATTAGGGTCTCTTCAGTTATTTGTTTTTGCATTTGGGAGAACAGTTTTCATGCAGATAGCCAAAAATGTGCAGTAGGTAGCTGCAGCTTTGTTTTCAGCATCAGCCATCTGAGAGTTTGGCTACTGCTTCTCTCTTTCTTTTCTGATGACTGGTTCTTTTCAGTGCAAAACCAGGATCATCCAGTGAAGCCAAACACTGAGGTATAAAGAACAGGTACAGGCAAGTCCTTCATGCCTTGGAATTGTGCAGTTTGTTAAAAGTGATGGCCAACAACGTGGACGCCTTTTGAAGAGAATTAGACAAGTAAGGTCATGCAGGATAATGGCTGCTAATTATGATTAGGATTGTGAATACTCATGTTTCTCATTCGTTCATGTGAGAAAAAGAAATGATAGTTTTTATGAAAGTAGTTTGAAAAGCCAAGCACAAACACTCAGTAAATATCGAAAACCGTGTTCAAAATGACACAAATAGCCCACCTTATACTTTGTTCCTTCTTTAATTCTTAAAAAAAATGAACAAAGCAGCACCCAGCGTACTGCGCCATTTTTGCTCTCTGTACAAAAACTCACAAATGCAAAAACTCTCTTTAAGGATCTGAAGGTGTGGAAAATTGGTAATTCCAGTTTTATAATTAGGAGAGCATAAAAAACACAAACAGCTGCAGCATAGGAAATGCGGAGAGAGAACAGTAAAAGTATTCCAGCTTCCATCCTGTTTTTACTAGGCTCCCCTTATATAAATACAAGTTAAAAAAGCACTCTACAAGTAGTTTAGGTAGAAAAGAAAAGAAATCTTTACTTACAGTTGATGTTCAGTTACAGTCAGAAGAGTTAAAAAAAGGGATTGGATCTCTCAACCATCTCAAAAGAGGGAAAGATACTAGCGATTGCATGGTCCTGAGGTCAGGAACAGGAAAAGATGTCTGTTTTTGGCCAGGGAGGAAGAGAGGGGAGACAATTGGAATCAGAAACAAACAGAAAATGGGTAGGGACAAACCTCAATCCCAGGGAAAAAGGGACCTGGTTACGTGGTCAGTGGGAAAGAAGAGAATTCTCTTTGGTCCTAAAACCCTCCCTCTCCACTTATACCCAGTGTTACAAAGTATTCAGTGTTGTTATTATGCCTGTCCTTGTTGAAATTGTGCAGGTTGGGATTATCTTTGGATCTTATCTATGAGTATGCAGAGTTTATGGGAGAAAGGAAGGATAGGGATACAATTTCTCTGAATCTTTGTTCACTTAAAACAATTTAAAAAATAGCATTAACTTTTTGTTTTACATTTGATGGTTGTTTTTGGAAGAATAAGACAACAAAAAAGTGTCACAAAAATCCTATTTTGAAAATTTGTCTCAGACTGGTTTTGTGATCCTTTGATGATTGCTTTGGTGCCAGTTGTTTTCTAAGCACCTCTGTCTAGTTTTTTACAATAAGGGGCTGTTTTGATCTTTGGAGCTTGCATAAAGTTACTTAAAGAGTCCTGTTGGCTTATATGATTTCAGAAGGGCAGCCATGTAAACATTTCCCTCACCACCAGTGACTCTCTTCCGTGTCACAGTTGTGTTGTTGGTACTAAGTTGGGTGCACAATCACACAAGAGCCTCGTGGCGCAGTGGTTAACAAACATTTCCCTCACCACCAGCGACTCTCTTCCGTGTCACAGTTGTGCTGTTGGTACCCAGTTGGGTGCACAATCATTTGCATGAATGATAGCCAAACAGGGGGAGACCCTACAGATCAGTGGTGATTGCATGCAGGAGAAATTCGCTTGGATTATGGCTGTATGAAAAATACGCTAAACCTGAAGGGGTTTAGCATATTTTTCAGTATTAACTCCTTATTTTCTTTATAATTAAAATTGTAAACCGCCCGGAGAGTGCTTGTAGCGCTATGGGGCGGTATATAAATCCAATAAATAAATAAAATAAATAAATAAATAAATTTGCATGAATGATAGCCAAACAGAGGGGAGACCCTACAGATCAATGGTGATTGCATGCAGGAGAAATTCACTTGGATTATGCTGTATGAAAAATACGCTAAACCTGAAGGGGTTTAGCATATTTTTCAGTATTAACTCCTTATTTTACATCATGTATACCTTATTTGTCTTCTCTGGAGTTTTATAAGATCTCTTTTCCACCACCCCTCTTCTCCCAAATCTCCCATTGTAGGTTCTGGGTTGGCTATCAGTACATCATCACCAACCGAAATAATTCACTAGAAGGTCACTGGGAGGTTGCTTATAAAGGTAAAGTTCTGAAATGACAGTTTTGTTCTGTTTAAAGCTGAAGAACAGTTGGCAAAATTATGTGTTTGTGGAGGAATCCTCCATGCATAAACAAATACCTTATATCAATTCACAAAGATCTTAGATGTCTGGTAAGAGAATTTTGATTTCAAGAATATAAACCAGCAAATTTCAATTTGGTGTTATTGATCTTGCTTTATTAAACACAGGAGTTCCCCTTTTGCTGGACAAAGACCTGCTGGTTAGACTACTGTAGCCCCTCTACATGGGGCTGCCTTTCAAAGGTATTTGGAAGCTACAGCCAACGCAAAATGCGGTAGCCAATCTACCTGACATGCTGATATGATATGATATGGATCTTGAACCAACTTCACAGACTAGCAGTTTGCTAAATTCAGGGTGCTGATTTGACCTCTAAAGCCTTAAGTTAGGTTGGGGCCAGGAGATGTAAGAACTTGCTTTTTCTTGTATATTGTGTAGGACTTTGTAGCTGTATCCCAATTGTATAACCCCGTCCTGCAAGAGGTTAGGTTGGTTATATCCTCTGTTGACCTCTGTTGAGGGTAGCTAAATCTTTAGTGGTCTAAAGGGCCTGGGGTCTCTAGGTTTGTATTTCACACTGGGTTTTAAAATGTAATTAATCTGTATGTAAACATTTTAATCAATCTTAAATCACTTGTTTTGGATGTGATTTTAGTCCCGATCCTTCTGTTGTTGCAACACATTGATAAGCGCTATTTATTAAACAATATACTTCTGTCTTGGATACCCAGTGTGATGTAGTGGATAGAGTGATGGACTAGGACTCAGGAGACCTGTGTTCAAATCCCCACTTTTCATGGAAAGCCACTGGGGGAAACCACTCCTTGATATCTGACTTACCTTTTAGGGTAAGTCCTATTAGGGTCACTAGTAAGTTAAAAAAAAAAGTAAAAAAGTGAAGTAAAGTAATATAATTCTCTATAATTCTGTTCCAGCTTGATGGCATATAACAAATATGTCTGTCAAAAGCAAAACAGTCGAAGGGAATGCTAAGTTATGCACTTGAACGTGATAAAAGGAGAAAAATGGGTTATACCACAGCCATGCAAATAAAATGAATGTTCTTGTTAAATGTAAGAAACCCCACAAACAATCCTATACTTAAAGAAAAGAAATAGAGATTGGAGAAAGAGGAAACGTAATGAACATAGATTATATTTTTTTTTTCTGACCATGCCACAGTTTTTGCCGTGACATTTATAGCAAAGTTGATGTTTTTGCATCATCTAATCTGTGTGTCCTTGATGCAGCACAGGCCTAGGTTTTCCCTCTAGCCTGTCCTACCAATCTCTCAGGCCTGGTCCCTGTGCGATGTATGCCTTGTCTACTCATTGATAAACATGGCTTGAGGAAGTATCCACAATTCTTCATTCTGCACGGGCAGACTTTTCTGCATTCTCCAGTTCCCCGCTCCAAATTTAGCCTCAGTCCTGGGGATGAGATTGACTTCCTAGCTCCACTTAGCTTCCAGAGTTCTGTTAGCTGGCTTTGTTCGTTGAGGCCACTTGAATTAATGGGAAACCACTTACATTCGAAAGAACACGTCTGCATTTATAATATGACTACTGTGAAATTTTGGTGCTTAAAAAACACAGTGTATTATTATGCCAAGCTTTCTCCATCAATCCGTCTAGTCCAATCCTCTGATGCCACTTTTAAGGTTTATTATCGCCAGATTCTTTTGCTGGAGCATATTCTGCTCTGTTTCCTGTACTTTTGGTGGATCTCACTTTTTTGTGCTTTTTTATTCTTCTGTGTCCGCCCTCATGCACATCTTCCATGGTACAGCCTTCCCTTTACACGCGCCTTCTACAGGCAGCTTTTGCCACTTTGCTGTGTGTTTGTGTATCTGTAGCCAATTTTGCGTAAATATCTCTGGAACATAATGACTTTCTGAAGTCAGCCTGAAGGCATTTGGGAGGGTCACATGTTCTCTGTCCATCTTAGCTTTTGGGACAGGTTTTCCCCACCAGCCCTGTCTGGAGTTATCAAGAGATTCAACCTGGAAGCTCTTGCACACAAAGAACACACTTTAGCATTGAGCGGTGGCTTCTTTTCCACCTGCTAGTCAGGGACTCAAACCTGCAATCTCTTGATCCCAAGTTAAGATGCTGAAGTGGGTGCTGAATTCTTTTTCCTTAACTTCCTGGGGAACCATTGTAAACATTTTTAATTTTGGCATGGTGGAGGTCAATGTACCCCTGAACTTTCAGCTTTGCTGGGTGGGGCTCCATCTCTCACGTGTGTGCCTTTGCTCCTGCATGCGCGCATAACACCCCCCCCCGCGCGCAGGATTCCGTCGTAACTAGAACCTAACTTGAGCACCCAGTTGAGAGGGAACCTTGGTGTTTGTCTAAATGGCAGTATTGTACCCAGGTACAAGATTCCTGGTATCTGGTGGCGCTGCGGGTTAAACCACAGAAGCCTCTGTGCTGCAGGGTCAGAAGACCAAGCAGTCATAAGATCGATTCCACCCAACAGAGTGAGCTCCCGTCGCTTGTCCCAGCTCCTGCCAACCTAACAGGTCAAAAGCATATAAAAATGCAAGTAGATAAATAGGTACCTCCTCGGTGGGAAGGTCACGGCGTTCCGTGTCTAGTTGCGCTAGCCATGTGACCATGTAAACTGTCTACGTACAAACGCTGGCTCTACGGCTTAGAGATGGGGATGAGCACCGTGCCCTAGAGTCGGACACGACTGGACTAAATGTCAAGGGGAACCTTTACCTTTACCTGTAAGATTCCTAGTGCATGCTCTGTGCCGTCTTATAGTCATCTTACAAAATTCACAGCTGTAGTGCCATCTGTTGGTAGAGAAACATTTTCCATGAAAGCAAACACTTAATGTAGCTCATAATAAACCAGAAGCTTCTGCTAAATTTAATATGTATTAATGTAAGTTTAATGTATCAATATTCATGTTTCTTTTATTTTTTGAGAAGTATGTCTTGAATGTTAGGCAGTTATTTCCCACAGATTAGCTTCTCTATGGTTCTTCTGCTTTTTCTGGGCTTCTTTGTAAAAGAATCCAGTTTATAACTTTTAAATAATGCATGCACATTTGTGACACAAAAAAGCTCTGTATTTTTAGTATTTCTGAAGCTCCAAGGATTTAAAAAAATATATTAAGCCCATGTATTAAGTTTATTCCCTAGCAACTTTTATTAAAAGTTGGTAGGGGTGTCTTACTTTAATATTATCTGAAATTAACAACTGCCACCAATTCCTGCTCTGTAACGCATCCAAAATGATAGAAACCACTGTTTACCCAACAGATAAGAATCATAGAAAAATAGAGTTGGAAGGGATACATACGTCCAACCCCTGCTCAGTGCAGGTCTTTCAGTTGTTCCTCAGAGTGCTTGGTTTCCAGTCCCCTGATCATCTTTGTTACCTTCCTTTGAACTTGCTTCACTTCGTTAGCATCTTTCTTAAAGTGCAAAACTGGACTCAGTACTCAAGATGAGGCCTATCAGTACCAGCCTAAAATAATATTGGCCTTTTTGCAGCCACTTTGCATTATTTGCTCAAATTCAGCTTGTGATCTGCTCCAATTCTTTCTTGCATGTACTGTTGCTGAGCCAAGTATTCCCCATCTTGTAACTGTGTATTTGGATTCTTTTTGTTAGGTGTAGAATTTTGCCAATCTATTTTTTGTTTAGACTTTTGTTGCTGTCCTTTGCAGGCAGGTTTGGGACAATAGGATCCTGGCCTGTGTTCGTAACTTACAACATGCCAAACTTTTTTTTTTGTCCTTTCAGGTTCCTCAGAGGTGTTTTTGCCTCCTAACCCCACACTTCCGACGTACGTGTCTGAAACTGATAACATCCTGTGTGCCCAGTTCCAGTGTTCCCATTTCCCCACCCTTCGGCACCGTGGTTTTCACAGCTGGTATGCAGAAAACTGCTATGAGAAATCGTCGTTCCTTTGCAAAAGAAGTGAGTGTTTCTGCTCTGTGTTTCTAGGTTTTGCATTCTGAGTCTGCCCTGTTTTTAAGCAAATAGGAAGAAAGTACTGGGGGTATGCTAAAGGCCTTTACAAGCAAAGCCAAAGGAAGAAAATTGGGTCTGGATTAAACGCTGCTCCTTGTTCATCTCTTGTTATCAGCATGACTAAGATGCACTGTGTGTGAGAGAGAGAGTTAAGAGGGAGGCTAACAAAACCTTCCCTAATTTAGCTTCTTCTACATGTGTTGGACTATAACTCCCAGAAGCTTCCTGCTAGTTTCTTATTCATTCATTCATTCATTCATTCATTCATTCATTCATCCATTCATCCATCCATCCATCCATCCATCCATCCATCCATCCATCCATCCATCCATCCATCCATCCATCCATTCAACTTTTATCCCACCCTTCTAGACGGTGTCTACTCAGGGCGGGTCCCAATAAAATAAAAACGGTTAAAAGAATAAATTGACATACTAGTGTTCATCAAGGTGGGAAAATAGACAAAAAAACACTAAGTAAAAGTGAAAGTCAAGTATAGACAGGAGGGAAGGCCTGCCTAAAGAGCCAAGTCTTTAATTAGCTCTTAAAAGCACCCAGGGAGGTGCCAGGCAGGATCTCTGATGGCAAGCTGTTCCAAAGTCGAGGAGTTTTAGCCCAGTAAACCAGGAAGTGACTTTGAAGGAAAGTTGTATATTCTGCCCTTAAGCTTCTGGTCTGGGTACCACTGCTTTCCTTTCAAAATGTACGGCAGGCCCAGAGGAAATAACCCCTGCATTCCTGAATGTGCTGTTAGAGGTTGAAGGTCTGAACAACCGCAGATTTTCTTGATTGATGAGAACGGTTGTCAGCCAGTGCTGCTCAGCTTCACCTGCTTGGCATGCAGAATGCACTATGGTGCATATGGAGTGTGCCCTGAGTGACTTTCACTTGCACCGTGGGATTCTGGGCACCTTGTTGCGTGAATGCCAAACTGCTGCTACTGCGGGTAGTTTGACACTGTAGAATCCTGGCATGCGCCACTTTCAATGTGATAACTTTGTCGTTAATGTGGTCTGTAGCAGAAGATGGAGACATACACCTTTCCTTGGTTTTCAGGCCAAACCTGCGTGGATATCAAGGACAACATTGTGGACGAAGGCTATTATTTCACCCCCAAAGGAGATGACCCCTGTTTGAGCTGCACTTGTCATAATGGAGAGCCAGAGATGTGTGTGGCAGCTCTGTGTGAGAGACCACAGGGCTGCCAGCAGTATCGGAAAGATCCCAAGGAGTGCTGCAAGTTTACATGTTTAGATCCCGGTAAGGAGTGTTTCTATATATATATATATATTAACGACCCAGCAGTTTATTGATATGATCTTTGACTTTCTTTCCACTCCAGCATTCCACCTCTTTCACAAGGCAAAAACACTCCACTAGCAGATTTTGAGTATCCTGGAAAGACACCAGATTGCTTTATCTGTTTGGATGCATTTCTGTTTTTAATTGCTGGAGATGTACTGTAGAAGCAGCCTCCTTCGCTGTGGTGACTTTGCGTGGCTTTGGCTCTTGCACATCTTGACCTGGTGTAGGTGCAATTTCCCTTCCTTCTCTGCTCCAGCAGCAAGGTGTTTTGAACCAGGCCTGGAAAAGGGAGGAGGCAGCTTCATCACAACATTTCATATGACAACATGAACTTGGGATGGAGGTGTCGGTTCCAATTTCGGTGGGATGCGGCAGCCGCGTTTCTCCCTTGCTGTCCACCTTTGTCTGCTTGTTTCTGTCAGATTTCTCTTTTTATTGTTTTATGATGATTGGGCTTTTTTATTTCAAGTCTTTTTAAGAGAAGGAAGGGCATGGATGAGAAAAGGCGAAGACTTCACTCTGTGGATTTCTTTATTTTCGTTGCCTCATTAGTCGGGCTGTGCAAGTTTTATCTGTGCCTATAGAGATAAGGGCATAAATATCCAAGGAACACCAATTACACTCGGCCTTGAGACAAAAGGACAAGAGTAACTAGTGAACCCCGCTGAACTAGAGCGAAGAGATTTTGAATCAGCATCAGCTGAAATACGGGAGGAAAGAAGGGGAAAATGAGGAAAGAGAGACCATAGTACAAGTGGCCTTGAGACAGAAGGACAAGAGTAACTAGTGAACTCCGCTGAACTAGAGCGAAGAGATTCTTCTTAGGATTTTGAATCAGCAGCAGCTGAAATACGGGAGGAAAAAAGGGAAAAATGAGGAAAGAGAGACCATAGTACAAGTCAGAGTGACCTTAATACAAGTAAGTTGTTTGACAGCTCCTGTCCTGCAGGATTATTATTATTATTATTTTTTATTCATGGTGGCTGCATTCAGCTTTGCTGGGCTTGTTAATATAACATCTGGAATGCTGAAACATTGAAATACAAGAAGCCAGCAATTCAAGGAGGAAATACAATAAATCAATGGTGAATATGTAAACCTTGCTTCATCATCTTGCTGACATATTTCATCAAGCTTTAATAATCCAGCTGTTTTCCTGACAGTATTTTTGGGAAGCCTATAAACATGCAAGCGTCTGCCGGAGTTTATGGAATATTGGGGTCTATAGATACTTTTGCTTCCCTATATTGTTTAATATTGTATATAACAGCGTTGTGATTGGAAACCGGGGAAAGTTTTAGCCAAGAAGATAGACCAGAGTAAATGTCCAGATGACTTCATCTGTGTGAAAAGGAAAAATGCAAAATGTAAAAATTCTGTTCTAGTGTCACAGTATATGACACCTGCTGCACAAATAAATGCACAGCTGGATGCTTTACCACCTCAGGGCCACCACAGTGCCCTGATGGACGTGTATATACTTAACGGATGAATATATACCTAACGTGACGAAAAAATATCTGCCTAACCTGAAAGATCTGGATACTCTGGAGTAAATGTCATTTAATCTGAAACATATTTATGTTCAGGAGCATAATGGATTGCTTAAATTTGGAGCTTGTAAGACCACTGTGTGTCTATTGCAAGGTTGGTTGGTACAAAGTTTGGCTGAGGAATTAGCAAGATTAACTACGATCAACACTTCAAACTGTGATGTCAGTGGTAATCCAGACAATAAAGGATGCTTTAACCATTGAACTCCAGGACAAAACAGACCCAGAGGGTTCCTCAGTGACATCCCAGAGCAGACAAAAGAAAATATCTGAGATGAGAACCATCAACCTCCATCTTTAGATTGAACCACCTTGAGTGTGGAGGCAGGGCCTCGAAGCCCCCAAAAGCTTCACTTTGGATTTGACAAGATAACTCACATTCTACCCGGTAGAAGAACTGAGGAGTCCAGTGGCAAGAAATAATAGTTTTAATAACTACAGAAGGAAGTGTTCAATACCTGAAAATAAGATGGGTAAAGAATGCAATAAAAATATTAATGTAAAGATGAAGAATGAGAGTTTCAAGTTCTACCGGCTGAATATCTGGATAAGACGGGGAGAAAACTATGATTAGAAAGAAATGCAAGAAGAGAACTTAAAAAGATTAAAAACAAGGAGCATATTTAAAAAGAAGACTCCAAGAGAGACAATAAGAGCCTCGTGGCGCAGTGGTTAAAACGCTGTACTGCAGCTAAAACTGCGCTCACGACCTGGGGTTCAAATCCCAGGTAGCCGGCTCAAGGTTGACTCAGCCTTCCATCCTTCCGAGGTTGGTAAAATGAGTACCCAGCTTGCTGGGGGGGCAATGTGTAGCCTGTATAATTAAAAATTGTAAACCGCCCGGAGAGCGCTTGTAGCGCTATGGGGCGGTATATAAGTCAAACAAACAAACAAACAAACAAACAAACAAACAAACAAACAAACAAATAAATAAATAAATAAATAAATAAATAAGACTTAGCTTGCTTCCTCCGGTATGTGAAGATGTGAATGCATGAGAAGCCATTCAGGATTTACTGGCACAGAAATGTTCTTTTGTAGACATGTCCAGTGTTTCCTGTTGTCAACAGCATGAGACTCTTAACCAGCCATTCTCAATGGCCCTCTTGAGGGGGGGTGGCTGGCACATTTGAAGCAGGGCCATAGACTGGAAACAGTTCTTAACGCACCACCTTATAAGGTCTGTTATGAGACTTATACGATCCCAATTCAGCCTGTATTTCTTTCATGGGGTGGGTGGGGAAGGTTGTGGATGGCTGCTCTAAAGGATGGCCAAAATGAGTCTGTTGCTCTCATTTTGATGAAATGTCAGGTCATTTTGTATAACTATCCCTAACCTAGGGGGGCATTAAATCATCCTCAGTGGAAATTACCTTATTACATTTATTACAGATCTTGAAGTGGGCAGAGGTAAAAGAAGCAATATAGAAAAAGTGCAATACATTATTATGATCATAATAATGCGGCGGCCAGACTCCTTAGCAGAGTGAGAAAATACCATCATATTTCTCCTATTCTGGCCGCGCTGCATTGGCTGCCCATTCGGTTCCGCGTCGACTTTAAAGTTTTGATGCTTATGTATAAAGCCCTAAACGGTTTAGGACCTTGATACTTGGCGGAACGCTTACTCCCACCTGGTTCTACCCGTGTGAGTCAGGAGGTGAGGCTGAGGGGCCTGACGCCGAGGGAGGCCCGGAAGGAAAAAAACAAGAAACTGGCCCTTCTCGGCGGTGGCTCCTCGCCTCTGGAATAATCTACCTCCAGTGATACGCTCGGCTCCCTCACTGGGTACTGTGACAAACCCAGACCTACTGGGATCTGCCACACGTTACCCTAAGCTGCCACCAACCATTCCCTATAAGAAGTCACTCAGACCAGGGATGGATTTTTAACCAATAAAAGAATAAGGTTTATTTTAAAACAACACACAGGGAAAATAAAATGATCAGGTGAATAAGATTTAGTAACGTGGCTTAGTTTCACTCATACATACACACAGTTTGGTTCACACAGAACCCTTAACTTGAAGCACAGACCCTGAACCTATCAGTTCTGGCTAACCAACCACAATACTAAGACGTACCAACGTTCAGGTAGCAAACATTGTTAGAGCCAATTTGCTTCACAGTAGAATTGGAATTAGAGGGAGACTTTGCTCCAGATAGTAGCACCCAATTGATAAATGTTCAGTGGATTGTCTAATGTAGATGAGGTAGAAAAAGAGGCGGAATCATTAGTACAGTATGCCACAGGCTAATGGGACAACTCATTCGAAATTTTAAAAACCCTGACTGTTCTATTGGAGATGGGGATATAAAGAATCAACTGTGCAATCAAGATATATCCAAGGGAGCACTGATAAAGAGGAGGTTTACAACAGTAGATGCTTTACAGGATTTTATTACTAAAATTGTAGATGTAATTGCAGGTTTTCCTTTTGAAAGCCTATCTATTGAAAAGAAGGTGGCATGTATTGAGAAGCTGAATGACCTCCGTATAGACTTAATTGGCAAATGTGCCTGGTTTGAATTAAGCTTGTTTGAGCAATAATTTAGTGACATAGTGGAAATGGAGGTAGCTTCAGAGATCATTTATGACAGCATGTCTGTGGAAGTCCAGTATAAAATTATTTTTAATCTATAGATTCTTCTTCGTGGTCTCTGTGAATGCACATGAATGGGTTATTCTGCGCCTGCGCAGGACCTCTCGGAAGTTTCTAGAGCTTAAAGACATGTGATTAGCAGGACGTTCCCCCGTGGAGCGCATGCTCCACCCACCTGAAGTCCCCTCTGTTCCTTTTAGCTGCCATATAAGCCCTACCCCCAAAATAAGCCCCAGTTAAGAGAAACCCCACCCTCCACCACTATGCAGCAACCAGAATAAGATGGCATGATTGTATTTTAATAAACATAGATTGTAGTACATGAAAGGGATAAAACATTCCCTGAAAATAAGCCCTAATGTGGTTTTTGGAGCAAAAATTAATGATAACTGTTGATTTTTTTTTAAAAAAAATTGTATGCTGCCTTGTAGTAACTGTTGATTTTTTTAAAAAAAATTGTATGCTGCCTTGGGTCCCCATTAGGAGAGAAAGTTGGGAGGGAGAAACGAATGAATGAATGAACAAATAAAGAAAGAAACAAAAAATAATTAATTTGAGACAATAAATCAGTTGGAAGAGAATTTAGGATGTCCTATACTAATCTTTATCAGTCATTCAATCCTTCTTAGGAAGATACATGTCATAGATAAGAAGGGTTGCATATGTTGTGGGTTTCTCCTAGGTGTGTTATTTGAAATGTGTGACGGCAGACTGTTGGGGTCTAGATGAGCTATATTGGCTGAAGTTATGCTTCACAGTGACTGAGTGCTTGGCATTCTTTTCTCAGCGTTTGAGATGGAAATAGGATTTTTTTTCTTGCTGTGTGTTACAGATGACTTTTCAAGCACATCCCTTGCATCTGGAAGAGCATACAATATCCCTTGTTAAGAATTATCTATGGAGAGCTGAGTTTCTACGTCAGATCAGGGAGTCATAGGCCTGAATCTCTCCCTAAGAGTCCTTTAGAACTTTATTAGATCTCCAGAGAAAAATCAGAAGCCTCTCATGGCTGGCGTTTATCTCAAAAAGGTTAAGCCCTATATGACTCAGAGGAATATCTTGTACAATTTACTCCCATTTTCGCAATATTCCTTTAATTTCTTTGCCCCATCCAGGACAGATAAAACCGAATGCCCCAGAAAATCTCTCCTTCTCTTCTTTTTATTGAGCAGACACATGCAAGCAGATAGAAATGTGTTATGTTGGTTTAAATCTATTGAATTATCTATTGAATATTCAAAAAACATACAGTATCTGTAAAAACTTAGTACAGTAGTACCGTGGTTTACAAATGCCTCAGTTAATGTATTTTGGTTTACGAATGGAAATCCATTGAATTATCTATTGAATATTCAAAAAACATACAGTATCTGTAAAAACTTAGTACAGTAGTACCATGGTTTACAAATGCCTCGGTTAATGTATTTTGGTTTACGAATGGTAATCCATTGAAAATAATACCTCAGTTTACGATTTTTTTTCCGCAGTACGAAGCAAATTTCTCCAGGGTGCATTGTGCCTGGAGGTTTATAGTGCCACCCCCATTCCTATGGCAATCCACGTTTTGGTTTATGAATTTTTCACATTATGTAACGTCCCAGAGAACACATTAAATTCGTAAACCCAGGTACGCCTGTACAATGTTTTAGGAATTTAACTGTAAAAACTTAATGAACTAAATGGAAAATGGAACTAACTACTCTAGCAAAATTTTAAAATGCTCTAATGAAAATCAATATGGTGTTTAAGAGTGGAATAAGAAGACTAAAGTGTTACAGATACGTAATAAATAAAATATTGCAAGAGCATATTTTCTAAGTTATTAAAACTTTCAATTAAGTCACACCTATGACTTTTAACAGATTATGTTAAGACAAGAACACAAGTGATTATAAAATATCTCCCCACCCCCTGCCACAGTGGTTCCCTGACATCTTTATTCCTTACCTTGGCTATATTTTCTGCCTGTTATTTATACTCTTATCTCCTTCATCATCTGTCCACTTTCTGCAGGGCTTGGAGGTCCAGGGGCCAGGTGCACCAACAGAAATTTTATAGTTGGAATTTCTCTTGTTCCCTGCATCTCTTGTAATTAACAAGGGCTTGCACCTCAGAATCTGGCAGGCTGACACTATAGTGATAAACGTCATTGTCACGACTAAAATTTTGCAAAGAATAAAGGCTTGTAAAATAAAGGACCTTGACTAAAATTTTGCAAAGTCTGGAAGAATAAAGGCTTGTAAAATAAAGGACCTGGTCCACCAAGGTCCTGTAAACCCAGAATACTGTTGCTACAGAGGGTTCAAGTTACAGGACCTGCAAACGATCTCTCGTCATTTTAACACATTGCAACATTTTTCCAATTACAAAAGAATTATTTCAGTACACTTTCAGTTCTCTCATGTCAGGCATGAAATTAATTCCTTTTGCTGGGCAGTGTTTATGTGCAGTGACTTTTTTCTTAAGTTTGGCTGGATAACGGGATAATAGTTTTGCGGTGGCAGTTAGTAAACTGCAGTTTAAAACTCATTTTTTAAAGGACGTTCACATTCAGGGCTGTTTTTACACACACACGCACACTATACGTAAAACATTTCACATCTTGACATCTGCTTATGTGGGAGTTGTGGCTATGAATGTGATTTGTAGTTTTGAGATGCTGCTTTGATCATGACTTCTGTAAAAAAATGCTAGGTGCCTTATATTCAGCCTATCTGATGCCTTATTTTGTTGCCATGAACATATCTGAGTGGACAGGCTGTGCATCTTTCATTCTTTCGTTGGTTTGATACATTTTAATAAAAGCCTTTAAGAAATATTCATTTTTACCTGAGATTTGAGAAATACATTCGATGTCTCGATTTTGACTGCATTTATTCCTCCAGATCGAATTTCTTTATTGAACCCCATTGCTAAACATTTGACAACTCCAAAAACAGTGCCCATTATCACACTGAGGCAGTGAGGTATCCTTCTTGAGCATATTTGGATTATATACAGATTTCCTCTTTTCCACCTACCCCCTTAATTTTCCCAGTGGCTCAGTGCTCACCTCATTAGTTTTTCTCAGCCCTTTCTGATCTGTTATCCAGATGTTTTGGATTTTAATTCCAGTCAGTTTCAGCCTGCATAGCCAGTGGCTAGGAAGGCTGTATGAAACATCTAGAATAGAGGTCCCCAACCACTGATCCGCGGCCTGGTGCCGGTCCGTAGCCTGAGCTGGATCAGGCAGCAGAGACAGACCTACTGCCCCAGCACGCACTTACCTACGCACAGCTGATTTGCACATGTGTACGTGCGCTTCAGCGGGCCTGTGTGAGCACGCATGCACCCACACAAGGGCCTTGCTGCCGTTTGTGCGTGCGCATGTTCATTTGTGTGTGAGAGAGAGCGCTTGTTTGCGCGTGTGCATGAGCGTGGGGGGGTGCCCTGTCTTCCCTAGCCGGTCAATGGGATGAAAAAGGTTTGAGGATCCCTGTTCTAGAAGTCATCAGGTTGTAGAAGACTGGCCCACTGTATTTCTTGAAATACGTTGTCTACTGTCATAGAAACCGTTTCTGGTTCTCTTCCATAGATGGCAACAGTTTATTTGACTCCATGGCAAGTGGCATGCGCCTCATCGTGAGCTGCATCTCCTCTTTCCTGATTTTGTCTCTCTTGCTCTTCATGGTCCACCGGCTGCGGCAGAGGCGCAGGGAGCGCATTGAATCCTTGATTGGCGCAAACTGTGAGTAGCCTGACATTGTAGCTCCTCTTCAGTTTCCCTTAGACTTGTGCAAAGGGAAGAGATGAGGATGAAGCCCAGTGGCTCTGCTCTACATTCCCCAAAATCGATCTTCTCAGCCCTCTGCAAGTCAGGGCCTGAACTTGTCCAGTGGGAGCTGCTTAGTAAATCTGGATTTCTAGACTGTGCAGATTCCAAAAAAGTAGCTGTGTTAGTCTTTTTTCAGCACATTGGCAAAAGAAAAAAAGGGCAGCACCTTAGAGGGTAAGGCAGTATCTTAGAGACTACCAGTTTTATTATGATGTGAAGCAGGGAAGTGGGTTTTCATCCGCTGAAGCTCACACAGTCTTTTTAAGTTGATATAACATTCTTTCTCTCTCCCCTCCCCTTCATTTTCTTTTGACAATAAACTGTGTGAGAGGTCTTATACCAATTGAGAAGTTGCAGAAGTCAGTTTTCTAGAGCAGTGGTTCCTAACCTGATGTAACCCAGATGTTCTTGAATTGCAACCCCCAGAACCCTGGCCAGCACATCTGGTGGCAAAGGCTTCTGGGAATTGCAGTCCAAGAACACCTGGGTTACCCAAAGTTGGGAACCATTGCTCTAGAGCAGTGGTGTCCAACCTGGGCCCTCCAGATGTTCTTGGACTTCAACTCCCAGAAATCCTGGCCAGCAGAGGTGGTGGTGAAGGCTTCTGGGAGCTGTAGTCTAAGAACATCTGGAGGGCCAAGGTTGGACACCATTGCTCTAGAGCATGGAGGGATTTGGGGGAGACCTTGGGAAGTTATAATTTCTCCTTACATGTTACCATCCTTAAAAATTAATTCAGTTTTCTGTGTTACAAGCCCAAATTCTGCTTCCCAATCCAGCAGCAAACTGTGATTTGTGGCTGCTGCAGCAAACCATGGATTCTTTGCTTGGATAAGTTCAGTCTCGAGCCAGAATTCAACATACCAGAGGCTGGTTTATTGTTAAGATCCATAGCCTCTTGAATGTCAAGCTGGACTCCATGGCAATTTTGTGTGTGCATGTGTGTATTTTCTCTCCCACAGTGCACCACTTTAACTTGGGACGCAGGATGCCTGGTTTTGATTATGGGCCAGATGGTTTTGGAACTGGACTCACTCCACTGCATCTTTCGGATGACGGGGAGGGCGGAGCATTCCACTTCCACGACCCTCCTCCACCGTACACCGCTTATAAATATCCAGACATTCAGCATCCGGATGACCCACCTCCTCCATACGAGGCTTCCATCAATCCAGATGGTATTCTTTGTACTTCACCAGGTATGTCATCACAGTGTTGCCATATAATATGAAAAAATTGCTAGAAAAAGACAAATGATAATCATGATAATTTGTGGAACAGAAATATTCATTGTAAATAGCCTGCTGAATGATTGCGGAAAAGTACAATAGGCCAAGAGCTATTTAGAAAGTGGTGCTTACCATATTTTTCTGTGTATAAGACGTCCCATATATAAGACACCCCCCTTCTAACCCAAACTTAAGAAATCTAAGCGGGGCTTAGCAAGTGGAGGGGAAAGCAGGGATCAAAGTGTTGCAGGATTGCTTTGATCCCTGCTTTCCCCTACCAATTGTTTTTGTTCTCGCCTCAGCTTACTTCCGTGTATAAGATGACCCTCAATTTTTAGTCTAAAGATTTTAGACAAAAGTATCATATTACACACAGAAGAATATGGTAAATGTTAGGTGTTGGCTGAGACTTTTAAAGGGATGTGGTGGCGCTGCGGGCTAAACCGCAGAAGCCTATGCTGCAGGGTCAGAAGACCAAGCAGTCGTAAGATCAAATCCATGCGACGGAGTGAGCTCCTATCTCCCCTTCTAACCCAAAATTAAGAAATCTAAGCGGGACTTAGCAAGTGGAGGGGAAAGCAGGGATCAAAGCGTTGCAGGATTGCTTTGATTCCTGCTTTCCCCTACCAATTGTTTTTGTTCTCGCCTCAGCTTACTTCCGTGTATAAGACGACCCTCAAATTTTAGTCTAAAGATTTTAGACAAAAGTATCATCTTACACACAGAAGAATACAGTAAATGTTAGGTGCTGGCTAAGACTTTTAAAGGTAATCCTTTCACAGCAGGTTTTCAGGGCATTTGCTAATAGGTTTTTTTAAAGTGTAAATTACCAGTTGTTGCGGTCAGCTGTTTCTCAGTTTCCCCAGACAAGATGCACTGCCGGTCTCTTCCATTGTTTAGGTGTCTCAGTTATTTCCAGATCTCACTTTCTCCAAACAGGATGTGAATGGACAAACCCCTTATATGTGAGATGCTTTGGAGGAGCCAACATGAACAGCCTCCCACAATCTTGAATCCACATGTTTTGCATTTGAACTGACATGATCCATCAATGGGACATAATCCCATTGGCTAGGTTATTTGGGAGGGGGAGCAGTGGCAATTATGGTCTAGAACCTCTGGAAGACACCGGATGGAGGAAGGTTGAAGGTTGACCAAGACTACAAAGCTTCATTTCATTCAAGGAACCCTAAATGACAGTATGCAAATAGGCATTACAATAGGACTCCTTTATCTTTGTGAAATTGGTTCCCCACACACATACACCTGTGGATGCTGAAAAATGTAGATTATAGCAAACACTATTATAATAGGAAATTATATATATATAATTGTGGATTTCGTTGTATGGGTATACTGTGTATATGCTTACAATGACAATAAATTATATTATATTATATGATGATAATGTGCCATCAAAATGACAATAAATTAAATTAAATTAAATATATAATGGTCTCTGATGCCCTTTAGTAGCCAGCTCTGGTAATAACATCATAGAAATCTATATTTTTTGGGGATTTTTCTTTTAATATTTTCAGATTTTGGAGACGTGAATCCGCAGATACTGATCCACGGGTAAGGGGGTCCTACTGCACACATTTTGGCATTTCTGGCTTCTGATTTCTCCTTGCCTTTCGTTTCTAGATGGAATCCATTCCCAACCTGGGCAGAACAATCAGCGGTCGCTAGGATCAGGCGACGCGTCTCCACCTCTCACAGAAGAGTCTCTTCCTCCTTCAATTGGCCCTTCTCCAGTTGAGCTGGAGGACTCTGCTGACAGCAGCACCCTTCTCGTACCACCCGACACACCCTTAAGCGAAAGCACACCGGCAGAGACCCTTACAGGCAGCCGCCACAGTCACTGTTCCCTGAATACCATTGTGTAAAGGAAAACGATGAACAGCTTCCCCCTCCCACCTTTACTGCCGGTCAGAAATAAATTTGAGCAACTCTTTGCACACCCGATGTACAGGCGGACACTAATCAGCAGACTGAACTTCAGAAATAAGCTCCCTTTTGGTTTTGAACACTACTTTTATGTTCCACTTTAGAATTCTGCCTCTTGGGTACTTTTTCATTCTGCTTAGGTTGCCCTCTTTAATGAAGAAGAAAGAACAGACTTTGGAAGCTGTACTTATTCTAACGGTTATGGAGTAAGAGCAGAGGTTTGTTTTTTTTTAAATTGCTTTTAAAGAAGAAAGCATGGGTCGCTTTTCGGTTGTCTGCTCTTTCTCCTTGGAAATCATGGAAGGGAAACCCATTGAATGAAGATCTTTTGGCTTTGGGGGCTTGTATGATTTGGGAGAAACAAGGGCTGAAAAAAGAAAGGTACGAATTGAGTGGCTGTCGTGGACTCTTTCCCTCTCCTCTGCCCGGTCACATTTATTGCTTGGGGGTGGAAGATTGGAATTGGGCTGTGCTTGGTTTCTCTTTGAAGTGAAGATATGAGTGACAACGGGGAAAAAAGTTGGGGGCACAGTGGTCATTGTCTTGAAAGGGGGACTGAGTAAGGGCTAAGGGATTTGTTGAAGACTTGGCTGTTTCTTAAAACCTCCACACATGAGGTTCACAGCTAGTAACCCTCTTTGCCTAGCTGCAAAACTTGAAAGATCCTCACTCCAGTGGCTACAAATATACATGAGATTTTTAGGTACTAGAGTTTGAGAAGGAGAGGTGTGGGAATGACTCCCACATTTGGAAGGGGAACAAGTTGAGTAATTAGTCCAGTTGGATCAGGATGATCCTTCTTTCCAGTTCTAATTCTTCTTTTCAGTTCAAACGGCCAGGTTGATGTTGAAGCCTTGAAATTACAGATATAAAAATCAAGCGGTGAAAAGAATTGATGCTGGTTTAGGGCAAAGCAGTAGTGAAAATGGGTCTTAATAAAATTAGTCACCCCTGTCATCATGAGGTCGGATTTGAATTGAAGATGGCTTTCTTTTTCCCTGTCCATCTTGCTCCTTGACATTGATGGGGGTTATCAACAATTACCGGTTTGTGGGAGGCGAAATCAGTGCTCAGTATATAGCGAGGTACTTCTTTTGAAATTTGTCTGGATTCATCTCACCTTGCAGGTTGAAATGGTTAAGGAGAGCCTTCCCCCTCCCCAAGAGCTCCCTGAAAGGGGCTGTAAATATTGGAGAGATTCTGAATGGACTTGGAAAGAGTTGGCCCATTATTGCCCTGTTCCATATTTGGAGAATGAAGCCAAGTATAAACGGAAGAGGTTTGACTTCCTCCCTTTGTCTGTGTGCTCCTGTTGTCTTATGAAAGGCAAGTAAGCCTAGAGGGCCGGGAAAGAAACACAGCCTGTGGCAGGTTTTGGATTGGGTGCTGCTTTGAGTAGTTTTATAGGCAAGCAAGCTGGTTCTATCTTGAACATGGGGCACATTCCAATTTCAGCTGATGCACCCCCACCCCTTTTGTATTGGGCATCTTTTCCATATACGGTGGTGCCTCGCAAGATGATGTTAATTCGTTCCGTGAAAAATGCTGTCTTGTGAAAACATCGTCTTGCGAAACGCGGTTCCCCATTGGAATGCATTGAAATATATTTAATGCGTTCTAGTGGAAAAATTGTTGTCTTGCGAAAATTGTCCATAGAAAACATCGTCTTGCAGAACGCGGTTCCCCATTGGAATGCATTGAAATCTATTTAATGCGTTCCCATGGGGGGGAAGATCGTTGTCTTGGGATAATCGTCCATAGAAAACATCGTCTTGCGAAGCGCAACAGCGATCGCA